TACACTCTTTCTGTGTATTACCTCGCTTGCTCAGCCTTAATTCTTCCTTCTGGATCTATTGCACTGCTTCTCAAGACAAGCTTTCCCTTCCTAACTAGTGAAATAAAAGAAGGCTGGCTGGTAGCACAGTTTGGGCACAAGGGTCTTTAGTCAGTGGAAGGATTTCAGGGTAACAGTGAAGTCCTTCTAAAGGATTCTCACCTGTGATCAATTTTGAACTTATTTTGAGAGTTATTGCATACCTTTCCTTTTCACATTTGTATGAGTTTTCTTATGGGTTTTGAAAGAGATTACTTGATTTCATGTATGCCACTATTTGATCAGAAATTCTCATGCTTTTAAATAATTCATTACTTTATAATCTGGTTCAATTTAGACTTAAACCATATTCAGTCTACTCGGCAAAGTTATAGGTAAAGAACCACCAGTCCTCTCTTAGAAAAAGCCTATCCAATGCTACAAGAAGCCTTGGTGGTGCTGTGGGATAAGCATTGGGCTGTGGACTTCAAAGCTAGTGGATCAAGCAATCAGCCATTTGTCAGGAAACAGATGAGGCTGTATGCTCCCATAAACATTCAGTCTCAGAAACTATGAATAAAAATTAACTCAGTAACAATGGGTTTGGGTTTTATAGATACTCAATTGTATAACAACAGCATTTCTTCATGCTTTTACAGAAATAGTAAACATAAAAGGACATGCATTCACCTGAACTTCATGTTCCTGAATAATTGCTTTTTCTCCTTGTAAGAAGATATAAACTCAATATTTTTATGTGTACTATTTTTATTTTAAGATGAGTTATCTTTCACTAAAAAACTCCTTCTGCAAAGAAGGCATAGCATTTTTGTTTTTTTTTTCCCTAAAAACATGTATAATTCAAATGGGACACACATTAAATGAAGAAGCTATGCAAAGATAAATAAAAAAGTATCTTTACTAGGGCTCCATTTCATCCACACATAGATTTAATTCCCACAAAAAAGTTTTAAAATATGTCTTTAATCAGTGTACAACTGCAGACTAGTTCTCTCAGTTATAAATGTGTCTTATTTTCATTAAGGTGACTTAAAATGCATATTTTTGTACCAAGAGGAAAAACGGATATTGAGGACAAGGCGATATATATATTTTTTAATTCATGTAAGCTTCTTCCCAAATAATTGATTGACATGTTTCTTCACATACAATGTGATGATCATGTGTTTTAAGGAAGGTCAGGAAAATAATAAAGATAAGCCAAGAAAGGGAAGATCATCACCTCAATGAATGAGGAAACTGGCTAAAGTCCAGAAATTGGTAAATGACCATAGTCTTACCAATGTAGCTATGAAATTATGTTGATGTGATAATTTCTCAAGTTCAAATTTCACAAGGTTCAGCATTTTCAATGTTATTTAAGCCTCTTGATTTTAGCAAGCTTTTGGCTGGGTGGGTGCCAAAAGTGTTGGGCAAAGATCAGCTGTCTTAAGAAGCTTCTCTTTCCATTAATATTTTAAGCAAAATCAGGGCTGATAAAGATGATTTTATATGACAACATGTAACCAGGGACAAGCCTTGAATTTACCAGAGAGCAAAGTCCAGTCAAAACAGTAGCTTCTGAGGGATCTACTGGGCTGGTTAACGTCAAAGCTCAAAAGGTTTTGGTGGCTGTTTGAGGAGATTCCCAAAGGTTTTCTGGAAAGATACAGAGTGATCTCTGAGGCTTATTAGGAAAAAGTTTTAGGAATACTGAAAACTATATTGTGGAGAAATATGCCAGGAATATTGCAGTCAGGAATTGTTTTCCATTACCACACACCTACTCATTATTCAATAGCATGGCATACTCTGAGAGATTCATTAGGAAACTTTAAGCCATTCACCATATAGCCTTGATATGTCCCATTCAGACTTCATTTATTCATAAAATACAAATAATATTCCAAAAGCAGATAATTTGAGTTCCTTGAAGTTGTCAAATGTGTTGTTTTGATGTGGTATAAAGAGAAGGGCACAGAAATCTTTAGTGAAAGGTTAGAAATGTGAAAACACTGAAATGCGTAGACAAAAATGA